GTGTGTGTGTGTGTGTGTGTCTGTGTGTGGTGGGGCCTGAGGTTGAGACCCTCAAAGGGGAATGTGAAAAATGTGCTGAAGGTACTCAATGTTCCAATCCTCTCCCGCTCAGTGTTAGCAGCAGAGTGTGTGTATGAGAGGGAACGATAGGCGGGAGAGAGAGAGAGAGAGGAGGGGCACGACACCGGCAGACTGATCCTCATCACTCAGGCTTCACATTACTCATGTCTCTTTTGAACCCAAGGTGATAGACACCAGAGCCAGTGCTGTCAGATAACAAGAAAACAAACAGCTACTACAAAATCTCACAGAATTTTTTTTAAAAGCACCAAAAAGTTGTATATCTCCGACTACCTGCACATCTCCCTTTCAATAATAATTCATTAGTAACAACGCTGGGTTATTGCCAGGTGCCATGTTTTTGGTTGTTCTGCCCTGGTTATTCCACAGGGGATTAATCCAAAGCAACAGAAAAAGAGGCCTAAAAGAGAATTTTATGACTCCAGGTGTACCTTTAGTTGCCCCATGTGGACCCACTGAACTCACTTAGTAGGTCTAGTCAAAACCCCAAGCGTAAATCAAAGCATGTTTTTAAAGAAAAACATCAGTCTCTTGAGAAAACATAAGTGATGTCCATTTTCTGAAGGCTTTAACTCAAACAGGAAAATAAAACGTTTATATGAATGTATGGACCTTGGGTCTTTGAAAACGGGAATGATAAAGTAAAGCAGCTCCTACAGTGAGGTAAAATTTACAGTCTCATTTTGAACAGGAACGAAATACAAAGTTCTGCTAAATTATTATTTTTTAAATAACGTGAGAATTCACAAATGGGAAATAGTTATGTAAGTATGTGACCTGGTGACACACAAACTGCCAAATTTAGTGACACCAAAATATTTCAAATGCTTTCACTTCAGCTGCCATTCTCACCATATATACACCCTGCTTTAAGCTTTGCAAGGGAATGCAAACTTCAGCTAAAATATTTTTAAAACGTGATGGGAAATGTGGGTTTTTTTTTGTTCTGCTTTAAATATGTATTCTTAAAATATATGATGTCCAGCATGCAGCAATAAGATTTACATGATGCAGGTTCATTGGCTTGTCAAACCTTGACGACAACCTACTGACATCAACTCAGTCAACGTGGGAACTTTGCAGAAAAGCTTTTGTTAATTATGTTATTAGTGTGAACTACTGAGTAAGCTGGAACCACATTTGCATAAACATGCATGGACACAAGCCAACAAAACAAGCCGCAAACACACACACAGACTCCGACGCCCTGCACCCTGCTACGCTGCTGGCCAGTGAAATTCCAGGCATGTTGCGTCAACTGGTAGAGTGTAGTCATATGGGTGTTTCCACTACATACAGTGGCAAAGTGTGACTCAACTTATTGCAAAAAAACACAATGACCTTAACATGACCTGACACCAGCCCAGTGGAAGACACGATGAGTCAGAGCGACAACAAGACTCACAGAACTGAATCCAGTGCAAGCCAGAACTAGTGTGACCAAACCTACAGCCAACCACAAGTAAAGTAAGCTGGAGGCCCATAGCAACCACAGGAACAATGGGCTGTCAGGTGATGTCGTCATAGTTATGTCAACATTATGAAAAAAAACCCATCTGATTATTTTGATAGATATTTTAGTGATAGTGGTAATTTTTACATTTAATTTCCACTGATAAATAAAAATAGATTATCTGCATCACAAGAGTGTTTTTCTTTGTCAGAAGATGATTTATAGGCTGAGGAGTCTCTGTACGTACCACACTGCTGCTCCTTTGATTTTCTTATTGTACTTGGCAAAGTTATTATTGAACAAATAACTGCTCAGCCTTAATTTCAGATATTACCTCCAATGGCAGAGAGGAAATCACTGGGAATTCCCGTATCTCTAAAAATATCTCATGTGGCAGTTACATTGTCACCCTCTGTTTTGACAGTAGAGAGCAAAAACCCAGCTCCAGGTGTTTTTACACCGTTATATGTTTGATACATGTGACCATAAATTCAACAAGAAACCACCCTTGCACCCAACACACCCTACATTCCTCAAAAGCAGACTTTCTCATATCTTATGGTTCAGAGTAAAAACAAGGTCACGCTGGGTTTAACATCTCAGCTCATTGACAGTGTCTCACTTTGCTAAATGTTCCTGAAGAGGAAAAACACACTAACCTGCACCACCTGCTACAGTGTGCTATCAATCTGTCAGGATTTCATGAGCACCTCAGGTCACACATGCTTTTTTCTTTGCATTCTTCAGGGCACCAACTGTCATCCCAAAAGATAAGATGCACCACATGTAGCTCATTCAAGACGAGCTGTGAACTTCAGAGTCTTGACTGGCCCGAGCAGAACACACTCACGCCCTCTCTCTGGCGCTTTATTTCCCCAAGGAGCACACGCACACAGCTGGAGTGAATATTAAACTTGACTTGTAGAAACAGAGGAGGAACAGGTGCCTGTGGGAGGTTTTGTCTAAGTACAACATGCAAAGTAAACGTATAAAGTTATTTCAGTCCTGGAAAAAGTAACAGACGTGCTAGTAAATTTGTTTCTGGGTGCTAACAGAATATGTACGCACCTCTGTAAAAACCTCTGCTTGGGTTGTTTGTGTGAAACTGCTGCAGCAGGTCTAAGATTAGCCGAGACTCAGATTGGCTCAATCCTGCTAATGATTGACAGAAAAAGCAGACTTATTAAGTGAAGACACGGCCATTCAGCTGCACACTTTCAATCACGGACACACACACTTGTTCCAGCAGCACACCCTCGATCCCATAAGCCCTTGCTTTGCTCGGCTCAGTGGAACAGGTAGCTTTGAAGGCCCTTCACCAAACAGCCTGTAAAATAAACCTGTGTCTATAATTTTCAAGCACAACAGGGAGGTAAATATCCTGACCCCTCAATGCTGTGACCAAACATTTGGCTTGCCTTTCCCTCACTGTAAATAAATCAACCTGGTACACGGTGCAGCTTTCTCTGGCCGGAGTACAGAGACTGTGACGGAGCCGCAGGGCCAGCGCCGCCGCTCAGAACCTGCTCTAAACAAATAAACAGCAGCTGTGTGAAGAGGGGAGACTGGTGCAGGGAAGGCAGATGCTGGAACACCATCGACCACTGAGGGCTACAAGCTCAAGGCAGGGCAGGGATTTAAATCAGGATTCTTCAGGAACCACATGTTCGAATCAGAAGCAATATGGACGCAAAATAAAATGCAAAATTATGGATTAATGGATTAAAAGCCTCAAAAATCCAATCAACACAGCAAGACTTTATATCCGAAGTGGAGATACAATCTCTGGCCTTTTTTCTCAAAAAAACATGAAAATTGATTATAAAATAATGTCGATAAAGTAATGAGTCAGGTTATGTTCTCACACAGATGAAGATTTGTGAGCTCAGTCTTCACAAGGTCATTACAAGCCCAGTTTGGTTGATAATGGGGAAAGGACAATGTCAGATCTTTAACTTTTTTCATGCTACCACCACTCTGACCATGAATTCCTCTCATATTAACCCTTTGTCTGAAAGTAGCATCTCGGTTTTATTAGTTGACATTCACTGGTAAATCAGAAAACCAGGAAACAGAAGCTTTTTCTGCAGTGTTTATGAACTTTTATGAATAGACAGTATTGAGTTGTAAAGATGGAAAGAGTGGGATGCATAAACAAATAAAAACAAAATGAGACTGACACCTGCCCTTTCACGAACACCCACCAGTCTCTGACGTGGTTGGTTATAGCGTCTCATCTCCATAATCAGATTTTGAGTGTACACCTGCCAAACGAATGGAATAAACAGCCTAAAATGCAGATTCAACTCATGCCCACGTCCACGAGGCTGAAGGAGGCAAAACAAGACCGCCCTCCGTCTCCCATCAAACTAGGCCATGTCTGCAGCTGATTAATAATACACAAACACGCATATGGAGATGAATATGAAAAATAATCATTGACAGATATGTTGTCGCTTTCGCTGACCCTTTATTGAATATATTTTATTCAGATTCAAGGACCAAGCAACTTTTTGTCAAAGTGTTTTTGTTCTGTGCACTCAGATGTTATCCTGTCCCTATGCCATAACCCCGATATAGTCCTCTTTTAGATTGATGAGTGCATGGCTAACCTGTGCCCACATTTGCACATATGAACAGGCAATAATAACAATAACTCCAGTAAAAAGATGCACACAACCACAATGATGTCTCACTACACTCTATTTCCAAATTCTGCACCTTCTACCACTGTTTATATGCAAGACTCTGATAAAGGCAATAGCTGCAGACTAGTCTACAAGTTGGTCCCCAAAATCTTCGCATGGCTGCTCCCCTCTTGATCACAGGGAACTACACAGTATGTCTGTGTTTAGAGTTATTTATAGCACGCCACCTCCAGCCTGGGAAATTAACAGTTCATTTTGAAACCCTAGAGCCCCGTTTGGACCAAGAGGATAATCTTACATGACAGCTTACGGAGGGTGCGAGCACAGAGCAGCAAGAGAGGTGATGGAAGGAGAGTGGCTAGGGCGGGGGGGAGCAAAGGAGCAAGAAGGCTACTCTTTCTACATGCCAAGGGCACAGCAAAACACAGAAGGAAGGGGGTCGGTCTGAAAAGGTCAATAAATATATCTCTTGACTTTTTTCCGGGATTCCTTGTAACCTGGAGAACAGCTCCATCACTTCACATGACACGGTGCAAGAAGGAGGGCACACGAACGGCTGTCTTCTCCGACATGCATGCTGCTCCCCATTAAAGTGCTTAATTGGTTAAAGTATCCATACTGGCAGAGCCACATGCCCACTGCAGAGATAATAGATTTTTAATGGAGCGGTGATGGTAAGGAGACCCTCTCTAGGGAGGTATCACGGTCGAATACTGAGACTGCAAGACTCATCATAGAGCCCCGATAGCCCACCGCACCCTCCCGCAGCTCTCCAATGACATCATCCTCCTAAACAGCATCCAAGCATAAGTGTTGACAAGCAGCCGGGGAGTCACTGTTCTGCTCTCGGAGGCCAATGAAACAAAAGTAAGTGAGGTAGTTATTAATGATTAGGTGTATGTGTCATGTGATAAATCAGGTTTTAAGCAAGACTATCCATTTAATGATCATCTAAGACAGTACCTCCTGTAGTTTTGCTCATAAAGAACCTTAGCTGAACCTGAGTGTACGCTACAGAGAGTGTGTATGCACACTTAAACAAGCTGCTCTTAAAAGACACTGGGGTCCGTGTGACCTTTTCCACACTGGGTCATCCTCTTAGTGTGTTGGGCAGGGTGAGACGGTGGAGGCAGCAGCACAGATGAAAAGGCTAGCTGACCCCCACACAAAGGCCTGCCAGTGAGAGGAGCCATGAGGCTTATCATCCGACACCAAACACCCCGAAACTCATCAGTGGTCGTCCTTTTTTTTTTTGCTTTCACTTTAGTCAGAGGAACAAGTGAATCTTGTCCAGTCGTTTCAGTTTGTGTTTGAGTGCATGTGAAATCATCCGGAGGGTCATTCATACAAACATTGCCATCTCCTTACTTGTACACATGAAGTAAAAGAGTCCCTCTTGCTTTGGCTTGCACCTGGACAACACCCAGGGACAACAGATAAACATTACACCTCCATGGACCATCTCCAGCTGTTTTCCAGCTGCACTGACTCAGAACTACAGAAGCCGATGTCAAAATTCAAACGACCAACACTGGTCTTCGTTGGTGGAACCTAAGGTACCCCTATCTGCACAACCTAGCAATAAAGTAGACTTTACCAAAAAGTACGTTAACATTTCTACCAGTCATGGCTGTAAAATCGAATCCATTCTTCTCTGGCATTGCAATACCTAAAACATTAACAGGCCAATCAGTCCGAATAATTGGTAATTTACAGGATGTTTTGTAAGCCCCCTCGATCCGAAGTATTTCAGAATTTGGTTTTAGCCATGAATGGTTTGGAAGAAAAGTTATCTCTTGCAATTTAGGGCTCAAAAGAAAACAAGTATAGTCTGTGTGCATTGAAATTGTTGCTTGCGTAATCACCAAGTCCCTCTATGTCCTCACTGGACCTCACTTTAACAGACAGTATTTCCGTAGCAGTTATAAATATGGTGACAATGGTCGTGATTCAAATCTATATGGATGTTCTATATTTTAGAGATCAGTGGGTCAGTCTCTCTGATTGGACGATATGAGAGTAAAGGCTCATGGGAATGTTAAGTGTCCCAGTTAAATGCAGTTGTTTTAGTCATTTAGTTTTATATTTACTGATAATGTTGCCACTGTGAATTTTGTGTATGGCGTTCTTGGTGGGGTCCAGGAAAGTATTAAAGTGGAGGTTTAATAAAAATCATCCTTCCAGTAAACTAACAGCGCTTGTGGCAAAGAATGTGAATCAAAATCCATCTTTTAATCTCAATCCACTTAATGCCACACTAATCCGCCCCTATACATTAAAATCAATGATTAACCATCAGCCACAGAGATATCGGGGTGAATTTGGGTGACTATGCCTCAGGAGATCAAGCGGGCCTTCCAATAACCAGACGGTTGGCGGCTTGATCCCTGCCTTCCCTATTCCACGTGCCAAACTGTTGTTGGGCAAGATACCGAACCCAAGAAAAAATTGCCCCTGCACATAGATGCATGAATGTGTGTGTGATGGGGGAACTGTACCGTAAAGAGCTTTGAGTGGTCATCAAGACCAGAAAAGGCTCCGTATAAATACAAATCATTTCCCAGCTAAAATAAATATGAACTGGGACATTAATCGGTCAGTGACAATTATAAACCAAAAAAAAAAAGAACAAAACACTCTCTGCTTTGTTTCCAATGAGCTGAAAACACAATGGATCAAATGAGTTATGCACTTGAATGTCAGAAAAGAACAGAACACTCACACACCAAGGACACCAACTTAAGTTTTGATTCTACAGCACAATGGATTCCCGACATAGACGTGTCAAGCTCGGGGTGAATTCATTGTGCTGTTGTTTCGTGGCTGTAATCTGACCGATGGTCATTTACTTTCCCTTTTCTCCCTTTTAGCTGCTAGCAGCTGTGCCATCCTCCAGAGTAAGAACTAATCCCCTGACAGCTTCATAAACGCCTCGTAATGGAATCTGACTTCCGCAGTGATACATTCGGTTTGACTCGGTGTGACGGGGCGTCACCCTGCCCGTCTGAGCGCACACCGTCGGCGGCTGCAGCCTCACGCTCCGCACGGTCCTCACCCCTGGACACCAACCAGACGAAGTCTCCGACGAAGACGTGTTCATCTGAGGGCGTTTGGTTTCGATTATCACCGCGAGACGGGAGGTGAAAAATCCACAGCGGGCTAATGAGAGTCCTCCATGGCCGGAGTTCCTACACCCAAATGGGTCTGTCTATCAACAGACACCACCCCCCCCCCCCTTCACAAAAAAAAGAAAACAATAGGACGTGGGATAAATATTTATAAATCACACAATTCTTCATACGTGTAGTAGTGGGGTGCAGAGGCTAGCATGAGTTGTGTAGCTAGCGTTAACGCCGGGGCGTGAATGGAAACGTTAAGGGAGCTAGCTAACATGTTTAAACCCGCAGTCATCTCCGAAGCTCCAGAAACACACACGGGGTCCCTTATTTAAAAAAAAAAAGAAGCGGACATGCAGTGAAGCTAACACGGCCGACAGCAGACAGGAATGTGCCCGGCATACTCACAACAAGCAGGGGTCTAATTAGCGACGTCGGCTCGGTCCACCACCGGAGAAAAATCTTGCAAGAGGAAACTCAATTTTCTTGGTTGTTGTTTTTTTTTTTTTGTGTGTGTTTTTATTTGTTGGTTCCTCCGGTTATCTCCCGCAGCTGCTTCTTCTTCTTCTTCTTCTTCTTCTTCTTCTGCTTCCTGGCTCTGGCAGCGTTTTAGTGTTCAGTGGAAACACAATGCGCCGGGGCGTTCGTGGGTTCTGTGCGTGAACCGAGCCCGCGTTGAACAATGTGCTCCCGCAGACAGAGAGAGCAGAGCGGGGATGAGGAGCCCACGCCCAGCGCCACCACGCATGGACCCGCCCCGGTTACCGAGCACGTTACCGCCGCCTTCACACACTGTGGGAAATGTGGCGACTCCCGCGTGACCTCCACCTGGGTTTAGTCCAAACTAGTGGAGTGCAAGGTTATTATAGTTTTTAATTTTTTTTCTATTTTTAAATTTAGTTTTGCAGTTTGCTCTTTTATTTCAGTTTAGTTTTAGTTAGTTCAACAAGTGATTTTGTAGTTTTAGTTTTTATTTTGAGGAATCGACTGGTTTCAGTTTAGTTTTTATTTGGTTTTAGTTTTAGTTTTTCCAGGTATTAAGAGAAAGCCTTGACTTGTAGAGGCTGAAAAAGGATGAACCAATGTGTGACACCAAATATGGTTCATCAAGTCCTTTAATTTCATTCTTTAACCATCACCGAGGGAGAAAACGAAACGAAAACGAAGCAGAATTTATCTGCGATTCAGTTTAGTTTTAGTTAGTTTTGCATTGTTCATTGTAGTTTGTATTTAGTTTTCGTTTTTTTGTTTCAGTTAACTAAAACATTTTTTCATTGCTAGTTCTAGTTTTAGTCTTAGTTTTCGTTAACTATAATAACCCTGGTGGAGTTTGGTCGTTCTGGAGTCTACTTCAGATTTATTCCTTGTTGTGAGTGAGTCCTCCTTTAACAGTTCCATTACATACTGTCACTTTTGTTTTTAATTGTTTGTGTGCTTTTTATACAGCCTACTGCAGAGTGAAGGGAGAAAACGGCGCGTTCAGCCTACCTGGTTTATCTGCAGTGAAGATTTTATTCAATATTGTCGCAACAAAATCTGCACTGCACTTTCTTGTGCAATTTACAGAACACGTGCAAAGTGTGAAGACGATTAGATGGTTTGCGAGACATGCGTTCCACATATGGACAGACATTTTCTAATGTGACATGTCTTTTACTCTCTCAACTTGTTTGTTGCTTTTTATTTTTTTAATCTATTCTTGTTTTTTTATTAGTGTGGATTCGTTGTCTGTGCACTCTTGTTTTCTCTCCTGCTTGCTTTTAATTGTCCCTTGAGGGACAAATACAGTATTTAGAATTGAACTGAATTTAAATGAATTGATTCTTAACCCGCATTCCTGTTTGGACGTGGCTGTTTTCTTGGCCTTTAGAAATGCTCTGTGTGTTGTTGTTTGTTTAAAAGAAATCCCGTCTTACTGATGTACTTCTATTTCTTGTACTTATATATTAATTTTTCTTATTTTGTCTATAAAATACAAACAATCTGAAACCGCATAAAAAGCCAATCTTGTGCAGTGAAATAGCAAAAACCTTCATTTTCAGTTTTCATCAGAAAAACACATGATTATGCTTTTATTTTGCTCTTATTCACACTGCACACTGTTCCAATCCCAGAGTTTACAACGAGCACGTGAAGGCAGCACCACACCACCAGGATAGTGTTATAACAGAGTTTTACTAAATTAATCTTTAACAACAGAAGCATCACAGGAGAAATGTTATCCGAGTCCTAACTTCAAGTTCTGCACTGGTTTTATTCGACATGACCTGTTGCATGCACTACATTTCCCAGGGAGCCACGGGACCGCTCTGTGCCGTATCCAGGAAGTCGTCTGTGGTTGTCAAGCAAACTTTTGTTTGGGAAGTGTCTCCAGCCTGTGAAATGTGAAGAGCAGCTCTTTAAGACGCAGTTTTCTGTTACAGGTACATTTATTTTTGATTAAAACTTCCATGTGACTTTAGATTAGAAGCATCTTTAGCTGTGATCAGCTCAGAGTGGAATATTAATTGACTTTCCATCGCTTTATGTTAGCAAAACAATTAGCTAGAGAAGACGTGTTAAGTTCGAGATGAGTTGTTGTCCTGGGCCCGTGGCCCGGAAGGACCGGCCCGGTTCGGCGCGGGTCCTGGTGACCGAGCTGAGTGGATCGGGTCATATCAACCCAACCCCGACCACTAAACCCTGCGAGGACCCAGAGACAGAAGTGGAGCTTCACCTCTCTGCAGAGAAGCTGGTAGGTTCACACTGAACCATGTTGTGTGTGCTTCACAGAAGAACAAGCTGTTCTCAAGGTGAGGTGGGCAGAGAGAAATTATTTCATACCACAGGCTTTACGTAACCTGTTACATCAGAGCTATAGGTGAACATCCAAGGTAAAAACCGACTAATATAAAGACAAAATCCAGTTCAAGATCCACTCAGACGTCCCTTGTTGTGCCATCAATTTACTTTCCAAACAGAAATCACTATGTGGAACTGGGGACCTCGATCTCGTGACCTCGCTGGAGATGTGCGTAGACACACAAGAAACTACGCTGGCCTACTTTGGTAAGATGTACACGACTTTTATAAAGGCAAATCACAGCTTACTATTTCAAACTCCTGCAGTCGTTTTTGTGTAATCTTGCTTACACACAAACATACAAATCAACCAACAAACAAATGCGTGAAAACCTAACCTCCTTGGCAGAGGTAATAATGGCATCACTGTAATGCAAATTTTTATCCATATTAGATTTTAGGTTAATTGTGCAAACTTGAATTCAAAAATGAACCAATCATTGTGGAACAACATCTCCATTGTACTTATCTTTGTACTTAAAATCCTAGATTACACATGTCACAATATTGCCTGTATATGTAAGTCATGCCTAGCCTGTAGGTATAGGTGCTACATCCTACAGCTAATTTAGGTTAAACATATGATGAAGTGATTTTTAGAGTTGAATCAGAAAAATAGTTTACAACTTGAAAAATCCCCCAATCTGATGTAATTAGAAAGAGTTTGGTTTATGTGACGATCTTCCAGGTGCCCTCTTGCCCAAGCTTGTTCAGCTGAAAATGAACAACAGCGTGATCATGTCAGTGAGGTAAGTTTAAAGTTGCATAACATGTTGTCTTTTTCCTCCTATGTAGCAACCTGTTCTTATTATCACACGAACAAACAGACTCATTATGTCGAAAGCGCCTCTTGGAATTTCACCGATTCTCAAGAAGTTGTAAATCCTGGAACACAAAGGCAAATGTGGGATTTGACAAAACTGAATTTGTGCCAATTTATATTTAGCTTATGTTTAGAAGCAAAGCCAGCATGTCCAAGTCTTCCCTCAAACAGAAATGTAATTTGACCCTGAGCAGGGATGGACCCATGGGGATTACTGTCAGGCTTTACACAGGTCACATGTGTGCTACAAGAAACTACAAGGTTTTGGAAGCCATAAAAAGACGGTGCTTTGAAGCAGAAAGTCGGTTCAGGAGTGTTGTGGGATTGTGTAGCAGGTGTAGAGCACTGCTCTGCTTCAGTTAAGGTTTTCCAGTAGGAAAATGTTTGTGTGCCGCAGATACATGTTGGAGCTTGTAAAACACATGACAACAGACGTGTTTAGCACAAGAGATAGATACACATGGAGAACAGGTTCACACATCTGTCTTACAATAGGACACAGAGGGCTTTGTGCTGTATCAGTTTTCAGATTCATCCTGGGAAAAAACACAAGTAACATGCACAGTCTACCCTAGATTCTTTTGCCAGTTTGATTGCAACCACAGACATAAACTTCCAGAATGAGACACACAAAAACACATATTGAAAATTGGTATAAGAAAGTACAACAGAGAGATAGGGCGCCGTATGCTCCACCCTGAGAGCCGGACGTGCACTGCCTCTGATAGCATTTCCTGCTCTGGGCTGTGGGAGCTGTAGTGAAGAGGGTGTAACAGGGCTGCAGATATACTGAATGAGGCTCTGGTGGAAGGGTCAGAGCAGGGGTGTGCTGTAGGGAAAAGTGGGAGGCAGAAAGAGAGGGTTGCATATTGGGGAAGAGAAAGGAGTTTGTAGCTGCAGTGACCAAGGGACTGGAGGGACTCATTCACTTTTCACAGTGTTGTGCAACTCCCTCTCCCTGCCTCTAACTCTGCTTTATTTTGTGTTCTTAGAGACTTGGGAACAACCCTCTCCCATCTGCAGGTGCTGTGGATGTCTCGCTGCTGCCTACAAGACCTAGATGGCATTTCTACTTTGTCTTGTCTGAAGGTAGATTTTAAAGAGACAATTCAACAACTCATCAGTTGATTAAAAGAAACACAAATCAATACAATCAAGTTTTTATGTTGGTTTTCAATTTGTTTCTTAACTTAAACATAAATTCCATTTGTTGTGTTGCGTTGGCAACAAAATACAGTAACATTACAGCATCAATACTGCCACTATGGAACATTACTAAGTAGTGATGTAATAGATGTTGATAAGCGATCAGTGATGTTGTAATCGTATCTGTGAGATGGAAAGATACCAAATCTGTCCCTCTGGCTCTCTGTTTATAATAAACTGTATCTCTGCTAGTTTTTCTCTTTAACTCATCACATATTTTCTTGGTTTTCCTGCCGGTCAACCCTGTCTGTACGTCATTCCATTGTTTTTTCAGGAACTGTATGTGGCCTATAACAGCATATCACACCTGAGTCAGCTCGGCATGCTGGAGAACCTGCAGCTGTTGGATCTGGAAGGGAATGATGTGGATGATTTAGTCCAGGTCCAGTATCTGGGGTTATGTAACAAACTCCAGAAACTCACACTGGAGGGAAATCCTGTGTGTGTGCGCCCAACCCCCACTGCCACTCAGGTAATTATACATTGGCATCACCTGTGAAAAGAGATGGCTCTTGAATGCGGTAATATGGATATGATTTTAGTCTTCTCCTGTCAGGCTCTGTTTGTCCTGTATGAGTCAGCAGACACTGATACTTGACAAATTAACATTGTTCTATTGTTTGCTGCAAAAGTCATGAATGCGTCTGTACTGTCCTTAAGATCAACAGGTCGTGACCATCAGCTGTGGCATCATGCAAGGCTGATAATGAGACGATAATGACGTGATGTTTCTGTGTGTTTTATTGGTTTTCTATTCATGTGGATCTTATCTAGATTACGATTTAAGATACTTAAAGATTACACTTTTTTTTCTTTATTTGAAAAGCGACAATCAAAGTAGTGCAATAATAATATAACAACACAACCGCAACAATAGTTGAGTAAAACGGTAAAACGTCAGTGAGCAAAAAAAAATAATGCTTGAGCAAAGAGCTGGGCAGCACTTCTGCAAAGGAAGTGTTGTGTTCAGTTGGTGTTGTAAAATGTAACTCATGTTTGCGGTGTTGTGTAGCCTGTGCCAGCACATAGATGTTAGCCTCCGTGGCTTTGTCAGATAATGGCCCAAATGTCATTAGTTTGTGCTGAGACATTAAAATATCAGTGATCTCATCAATCTGTATTTGGGCCTTCGACGCACCAGAGAGGACACTGGGAGAGGAGGAGGGATCAAAATATTCAACAGCTACATATCAGTTTTTACTCTGCAGTGCATATTGAACCATCACATTAATCATTTTGTGTAAATGTCTGGCACATAAAGCAGCTCGACACAGACAAATTCAGGGGCATATGAGGTAGAAGCTGCATTTCCACCTTCCATGGATTCGAGACACCGTGTTCTTTTTTTATTTGGGCCACTGTGAATGTGTTTATTTACACCCACCAGCCGAGCATTAATTAGGAAACTGGGGCAATGAAGGGAGATGCTGAGCTGAATATGCATTAGGCCTGTGCTTTGTAGTGACTGAGGGAGACTTGGGTTTGCTAGCTTGCCACTCGTCTTGCTCTCTTTCTCTGTATCCACCACACACACACACACAGATATACACATATCCGCTTACTTCCTCTTACTGAGCCATCATTCTCCTCCTCTTTTCTCTCTCATTTCCTCGTTGCCAGCCTTTCTTTTTTTCATTCATTGCATCTGTGTGGTTTGGTGAAGGGCAGGAGTGCCAAGCTCTAATTTGATCGCTCAGTGACTTACTGTCCCTTCTCTCTCTCTCTCTCTCTCTTTCTGTACCTTGTAGCTTCCCCTAGTGTTAAAAAGTTAGGTCTTGCAGAAGAGTTAAGCGTCGCAGTGGTCAAAAACAAGTGCAGAGATCATGAGGGCTAACTAATGGGCATTATTTTATGCATTACTATCTTGTGACGCTAGTAGCTATTGTAACATTCAGCACCTGCCCTGTGTTTGGTTTGCTTACACACCACAGGTTCGTTTGTATAAACCAATACTTTATTGAATGTGGGTCGAAATAATGATTTAGAGTCTCCTGACCTCTCCTTCACTACATCTCCTGGATCTTTATCTAGGGGCATCATGCAGTCCATAATGTACCGCTATGTATTATTTAGTATATCTAAAGTATTCCGTACCGCAGTTTAATTGAATATAATACAGGTTAGAAGTGCAATTATTCCATTTTTGGAGCCAAATGGAAAACCAAGCACATCAATAAGTGGATGAGTCGACGTCAAGGGCAGATTTGAGTAATCTGTTCATTACATTGGTCTTTAACTATAGTACATAAACTGAAATCACTACAGGGATATATATATATATATATATATTCCTGAAGGTTTATTTACAGTATGTAATCCTTAAATACACTGCTACTCAATGCACTCATGGCTTTTAGTGCACAATAGACTACATACCATTAAACTGAAATAATTTACCCTGCATAAAACACTGCATCAGTTAAGTCACTGTCTGCCTGTTCTTCCCTTTTTGTCCCATTTCACTGCCTCTCCAAACATCTGTCTGTCCTCAACATTTCACTCTCTCTTTGCTTCCTGTACCCAGACGTCAGACTATAGATATCGGGCTGCAGTGAGGGAGTTGGTCCCTCAGCTTCATTACCTTGACAATATAAGGATTGAGGATGACGGGCTGAGCTGCAGCAGCGTCATGGGAGAAGACTGGGCCATTCTCCGAAACTCCATCAGAGACTGTAGCTCCTCCCAAAGCGCCACTGAGGACGGTGTGTGCATTTATATGTTGTTTTGAGTTGGTCGAGGCAGGCCAGTTTATTAGAGTGGTGTATTTAATGAGCCACTCACTTCTGTATTTGTAGAGGAGACAGCCGAGGGTGCTTGGCCGGACAGCAGACCCGGCTCCGCCAGGCGCCCTGTTTCCAGCCGCTCCTGTGTCTGGCCACTCTCATCAGAGGGCTCCAGACCCCACACTGGCTCCAGACCCATGTCAGCAACCAGGTCCAGAGTACTCACCCCTCCTGGATCCAGACCTGCTTCTGCAGACTCTGATATAGCAGCAGTGGAAGCAGAAACCAGCATCCTGACACATGGTTAGGCAAACCAGTGACTATTCTTCAGAGTGTTGTTTCTTCCACGACATCCAAACACAGTCTCTCTAACTTTATCAGTATTATTGAGTAACTATAACTGTTGTGGCAAAACTACTGACCCATGAGAAGCATTTCAATCTTTTTCACAGTTTCTTAAGTTTTAGTTTCTTTTTCTTCTTATTACCATCACCCTGTAGAAACAAGATCGGCTCCAGTCTTTACTGAGCCGTGTGACCAAGAGGAAATATTTATGACAAAAGACTTTTCTGAAATCACCATCTCATCCTCTAATCTGTTGACTCTTGAAGGAGCTGGTAAGATCGTGTACTGTGGAAACCCAGTCCAAGCTATTCGAGCGAGGCGCGAGAAGTTGAAGGTAGGCGGCGTGTGTTGGAACAACAGAATTCCTGTGAAAAAACAACCTTGTTTTAAAAAAGCAAATCTGCACCAATCAACCATATCATGCACAGAGTATTTAGTGTTCACTGACACGAGCAGGCTTTGACAGACCCATTATGGCTGTCTGGCTTCATCTCTTTAATGTCATGTCAGTAAAAAGAGAAAGAGCAAAGTATTAACAGAGGACAAAACCTGAGAGAGATGACAGGCACAGCAGTGGGAGGACACAGGGGATGGAGATGTGTGAAGGGTGCAGCGGTGTCAGAGGGATGTGACAGATGGAGCCCTCACCGCCAACGCCATGTGATCCGTCACACTGGCATGTACACACGCCGCTGCAGTCATCCCGTCTCCCTCTCTCCCTCTTGTTCAGTAAGCCCCTGTTGTGTTTGTTTTCCCTCCTCTCTGTCTGCCCTTTACCCAAGTGTATATCCATAATTGATGCACTCAACTCTTTGGCCTCTACTTTTCTGTTACGTTCTCTCGCTTCCTCTGCCACCAACACGCTCATTCACCCCTCGCTTCTTTCTTATAGACGGCACCCACCAAGTCTACTTTTACCCCCCGCGACCTGCTCATTCACGTACCAGAGCACACGTACGACCTTGAGGAGCCTGATGTTAGGGAACGTGGTGATGTATTTGCTGAACTCAGAGCTTGGCGGGAGCAGCACAGCAGGTAGTAACTACTTGCACAGCTCTCTCTCTTTAACACTAAATTACACACTAAATTATGCAAAAGCTAATTCTTAACCTCTGTCTTGCCATGACACACCATTTGAAACTACAAATATCCACTATCTTCTACATTTCTCAGGCGTCTCAAGGCCATAGAGACGGAACGATTACCACAGGTCCTGGCTATTCAACACAGTGAAGACGAAGAGGAGGGAGATGATGATAATGATGATGATGATGATGATGATGAAGAGGAAGGTTTTGGTAGGATGGGGAATGACAGGAGTGATGAAGAACATGGAGGGGAGAAGTGTGGTGAAAGTCAAGATACTGCTTCTCCAGATTCCTCGTTTCAGTCTCTCTCTCCAGGTGATATCCACTGAACGAATGTTCTTAATGTTGCTTATAAAAACTGGAAACATGAGAGAACTTATGATTTTCTTTCCACAGTAACATTAAATTTAATAACGAAAGACATAAAATAGCAGGCAGCAGAGATTAATGGCTGCCCCTGAACCTTTTGTAATGATATTTTTTAACAGACCTGCATCACGGAGAAGCCGTATCCCCTGACGTGGCTCAGCTGTCCCTGTCCTCAGACACCTCGCTGTCCCCTTCTCCCCCTGTCAGTGCCGCAGCAGCTCCTGCTAATCGCAAACCGCAAGGGTTTCGTGCACGTCGGCTGCGACTCACCCAGACCGACTCAGAACATTTACCTGTTTCCAGCAAAGCAAGGTGCTTCCACCAGATAGGCACAGCAGCAGGAAACAAAGAGCGGACACTCCAGCAGGTCCAGCAGGTGACCAGGACAAGGTTACCTCAGGTTGCACACATACACCGCCCGCCACCAACAAGTGCCCTGGCTGACGGGCTTATGGATCCATGGTATGATACTGTTTATGTATATCAGTCTCTATGAATTCATACAGGATTAACATGAAATATTGGTTTTCTGCTTTTGTTGTTCAGAGCTCCTTAATTATATTTGCTGTTAGAATATTGGATCTTACGCTGGGCAAGAGGCAGGATCGGTCTGCCACAGGGCCGACTCATAAAGAAAAATTACTCATCGCACTTATGGGCAACAAGGATTCATCAATAACCTAAACTAGTTGCCTTTGGACAGAAGGAGGAATCCAGACACTCTGGAGAAAACCCACACAGGCACACGGAGAACATGCAAACTCAAACCGTGTCGCCCTGAAGTTACTGGATTGAATCTGTTGAATTCTGTGATCTGAAATGGGGGCGTAGCACTTCTAGAATTAGATGTATTACTTCACTGTGGTGTGATTAGATGTTAAGTGTACACATCGGGTTGTTGTACTAAAGAAAGTCTCCCTGTCTTTCAGTGTGGACATGGACCTCTCCAGTGCACAGTCTGGCAACAAGCCCCGCCACGTCCCTCAGATGTTCGAACTCCCGCACAGGCCAGCAATCACTCGTGCTCACACAGCCAGGGCCGCTCTGCAGAAACATCACCCACACCACACACTCCAGCCCTGCAGAGGGAGCTCACACCCAGACTGACACCAGAAATGGGCTGATGTGTGGCTGCCTTGCCAGTGATGAATATGAATAGTGTGTTATTGTTCCTTACCATGAAAAACAGAGTGTTAAAGCAGGGGAGGCCATTCCAGGAGACTTTGTTCTGAACCTCTCTCGCACCATGTTTTACCAGTGGATTACCAGTATTTTTCCATCTTTTACAAAACAGATACAGTAAATATTGAAAGCAGCAACTCTACTGTTGGAACCAACACACCAGCATCCTTTCAAATAAGTAACACGAATGTGATCTGAGGATATGATGTCATGACACAATCCCTCTTTTAGAATGAATGTTGGGTTCAATCAATACCTCACATTTGTATTTCTAATGTTGAAATGTTTCATTATTAAAACTCAAGTGCTACCTTGTATAAAAATAAATAAAACATTTGAAAAAAGAACCTTATCTACTTCTACATTCTGACCCCAGAGTGGTGAGGTTTTGAAAAATGGAATGGTTCAATTGAGTCAAGATTTCCTGCACAGATGATGACTGTCCAGATAATCATGGTGTAATAATGTAATTTTGCCACTTGGAGGCACTATCTCTAAACATTAAATGAAAAACTATCAATCACTTCCACCTCCTTGAGCAAACAACCCCTCACATCCACCCCCTTGAAACCCATGATTCATTTTTTTCCCCTCCCTGTATGAACACATCTACGGCATCAAGTGCGTGATTCACATTATACAAACATATAACATGCAAACATTGACTTTTCACTTTACTGGTGCAGGAGAAAATATTTTATGACGCATTGGCCAATTTGTTTACGCCAGAATCTTTTATTAGAATCTAGCTGTGTCATATCCTGTTGTTTTACAAGAGTTATTAGGGAATTACTCGTCCATCGTACTGTGAAGGACAATCTCAGACTGATTCTGTCCTGATACACTCGTGACGAACAGTGTTTGAGGAGATGATGCACACAGACAGAGACAGGCACCTTTCACACCCTTGTTGTTCTTCATGGGCATATGATGCTGTTTGTTTTGGGGGTGTCACAATGATTTTTACATGGAATTCCATTCCAGGATAACCGCTACAACCAGATCACTGACATCTCCAAACTTGCCTGACCTTATCAGTGAATACCTGATGTGAGCACGTGCACACACGCAAACTAATATCCACAAACTATAAAAGGCTTGCCATATTTCTGTCATCGAGGCTTCAGATCTCTCTGCAGATACAGGATGTAAAATGAGTCAAAGAAATAAAGCACAGGCCGTCATTAAACCTTGAGAGCACTGCTAATACTCCTGCCAACAGTGCAGGATTAAGAGGTGTACGCATGTCGGACACAGGAATGTATGATGTGTGTGTACATGTAAGCACAGACGCCAACTCAACCAGGAGACAGGTCTTATATAACCCGTTACTGTTTTTTGTTGTCTTCTAGTGACTCTTTCCATCGCACGCCTTTCGAATGTCTTTCTCACACAGCTGCTTCACTTGTGGGATTGTTTCTCCCCCTTTGCTCCCTGCCAGGTGTTTTCAGGCCCACTTCAATCTCACTTGAGCTGTTACGTCTGAAGACGCAGATGGAATGAAAAATTCGGACTCTTATGGTGTCATGGTGGAAGGGTGTCCACCTACTCTCCTGTAATTTCTTGGACAGGGGTTATTATATGAGAATAATTTATTGAGGACTGGAGAAGTGGCATGTAAAAACATACTTTCACTCCCCAAGTCAATACCAGTTATTACCTACTGCATCTTATATCTAATAAAATACGATCGCATTTAGAGAAGTCAGGGACTGCAGTCTACAGGCTTTAGATGCGTATTCATATTATATCTATAAGTACATATGACATATAACAGAGTAACAACCAACAAAATAATACAGCTCTCTGTCCCAAATACTCCCAAACACACACACACACACACACACACACACACACACACACACACACACAAGGGTAAACAAACTGACATTTCTAACACACTGAAGTAGAGGAAACTGTGTCAGCACATGCTGTGAGTACAACGAATACAAATACCCAATGTGTTTGATATGACTCCATTTAATTCATGATGGTGTCAGGTGGGTTGTAGTTACATTCCTCTAAAGTCTTCATCAAAGCTTTCAGAGACAAAGCCACAACTAAAAAGATGGTCGTGAATATAACCAACATCAAGGTATAACGTTATCACACAAAGGGAATAGGTTTCTTAATTTGATTTCATATTATTAGCTGGAGATATTATTGACTCGAGGTAATATTTTCCTACCAGGCAGTATACCTGAAAACAACTACAGCATGAGTTGAGACTGGCCCGGCAGAAACAGTTTGTACAGTGCAGGTTCTTGCCGGAAGGTAAATTCCTTTCACTTCAACATATTTAAGCTGCATAATTCATTTTCTGTTGACATCTTCACAGCCAAACGCAGACACACAGTCTTTAATGGTATTCCAAGGAAATGAATGTATTCACAGCTGGAATGGCACCCAGTTAAGTCCTTACCTCCTTACCTCCGCCCTATAACTCCTGGATTCCTCTATTTGTCCAGATTTGCACCAAAATGTAAATTTTCATACTGTGGCTGCACCAAATTGCAGCCCCCTAAATATGTCCTCTTCTTTTTTCACCAGGTTCCATGAAATATTCCCTGGGAAATGTCAGAAATTGCCCTGTCCACAGTGTTCAAGAAAGTGATGAAAAGATTCCTGGATACATTCCCTGACCTGAATCCTCACCAAAATTTAATAGGTTCTTATTTGGGTCATGTACCACCACTCCAAAAGATTTGTTGGGATATCAGCTGACTAGTTTTAGCAGAATCATGCCAACAAACATCCTTTGCTTCTTCTTCGTATCATAAAGGTTTTCTGAAGTAAGTTTAATTCCAGTCGATAAGGTTAATGAATGAAATAATCATCTTTGTATTAATAGGCTACACTTCCCAAGTAATGCTGTCTTCACTGCTCCTTCTGTTTCAGGGTCATGTTTTCATACGAGCAGTGAGATGCAGTGGTAATTACCTGTAGTTCAAGATAAAAGGAAGAAATACAACGGGTGTAAGATAGCAGCCTGTTTTCTGGCCTATTCATGCTGCATACATGAATTTTAAACGAATATGTTCCAGGGCTTAACAGTGTGTGTTTGATAACCTATTCCTAGAGAAGAAAGCCACAAACAGCTGTTGTAGATTTCTGCTTTGTCATTCCCTTTCAGCTGTTTCCTCTTCAGAAAAGCTTGTTTCAGGGCAGTGATTGTAATTTGTGGGACGAAACACGTTTGCAAAGCCACACTTTGCACCACAAATAAGATTAGTAGATATGGGAATCTTTGGTTCAGAGAGGTTAAAGATGAAGGTGAAGTATTTGCTTTTCAGTATTGTAATCCTTGATATTTGCACATGAGGGAATCTGATAATATTTGACACACCAGCTGTTTTCTTATTGGTTAAACGCAGCATTGTTGCCTGAAACCGTTTCCGTTTACACAATCTTGATCCAACAGCAAAAAATGTGCATTGAAGTTTTTTCTTTTTTTTGCCCAAAACTAATCTTGTTGAGATGAGTGATGGTTGAAACATGGATGACTTCCCTTCCCTTTGTTTAGGAAACAACCTTTGCTTTTATGAATGGATGTTTCAGGTGCTGAAAAGATTATTACAAACACAATTATAACCTTCCTCCTCCTCATCACAGCTCCAACACACGCTAACATGTTACATATTTTGAAAATAGCCAGTACTGGTTTTAACAGTCTCCTCTTTGGTAAAATCACAATTAGTCTGCAAACTACAAGGAATGAGAATCTCAAAGTGTGATCTTTGGAAAATCAACCAATCTAAAACTATGACTATAGCTACAAAACCATTATATAATATGTAATCTAATGGTAACTGTAATCTACCTGCTGCCATTTCAGTTACTGCTTTCAGACAGATGACAGGTTCTCTACCTTTTGGAATCAGATTACATTTAGCTGTCAGTTCTGTGAATCTGGGATCTTCTCAAGTCGTGCATTATACCCCCAACTCAAATTTACATATTTTTTCTCACTTTTTCTGTAAATATAAATTATGTGAATGCATGTATTCAATTCAGCTCAACTTTGTTCCTCAGACACAGTCATAAAGGGAAGTTGGTCATTGGTCTTTGGTAAATAAACACATAAACCTGAAGTACTCAAAATGTATGCTTGAATATATTTGCATTATTCATCATATTATTGAAAAAAAGACATTTATCCTTGGATTTGTGACTTTTACATATATATTATGAAAAGACTGCACCTTAATTTCCTTACAATGCCAAATTTTTACAATGACAATCAGGGTTATTATAGTTAACGAAAACTAAGACTAAAACTAGCAATGATATGAGAATTTAGTTAACTGAACTAAAAATAAAAACGACAATTTCAAAAAAAAAGAAAGAAAACTACATAAAAACTTCAATGAACAATGCAAAACTAACTAAAACTAAACTGAACTGCAGATAAATCCAGCTTCGTTTTGTCCCTCGTCTGTCCTGCAGGTGATGGTTAAAGAAGGAAGTTAAAGGACTTGATGAACCACATTTGGTGTCACACATTGTTTCATCCTTTTTCAGCTTCTACAAGTCGAGGATTTCTCTTAATACCTGGAAAAACTAAAACTAAAACTAAATAAAAACTAAACTGAAACTACAAAAATCACTCGTTAAAACTAAACTGAAATTTTAAAAAAAGCAAACTTAAAAACTAATGAAAATTTCAAAACTATAATAACCTTGATGACAATAAAGATTTCCGATTCGGACCTCAATTGTGAAATCACTGACCGGATGCCGTGGCACTGCTACTTCCCGTTTCGTCTGGTCTTGACACGCGCGCGCAGTTTGACGAAGTTCTGACCAGAGGAAGAAACTCTCGAAACCGAGCGAGCACGCGCCGCGTGAGTCTTTCACAGCGAGTCACTTGCACAACGACACGAGATGCTCACGTCCGTGGACTGCGAGAGAAGAAGCGCAGCGTTGTTCAAGTGAGCGCCGCACCTGCGGACGGACGCTCCGGGCTCACTGACGAGGACAACCGACACACTTCGCTCACTCACCTTGTCGGGCAGCTTGAGTGGAAGTTGTGAGCTGACCTGGCTTGTCAGTGGCTTGTCAGTGACTTGTCAGTGGCTGTGACGCATGGCCCGTGTGTCCTTTAGCTTGAACAACGACGTTTCAACAAACTCCAGTTCACGTGGAGCTAGCTTAAACTCAGCTATGCTAAAGTCCAGCTGTTGTTTTTTAAAACTAAACGAAACAACGAGGCTCCGTGATCACAGAATAACACAAACACGAATTCTGATCATCCGTGTCCATCGTCATCTTCTGCTTCTCTTACTATTTGCATGTTCATGACAG